TAAGGTGGCGTAGCTTCATCGCCTCCGCTGGTATCGATTGCGGCGTGAGGTCCAGGCCCACCATGGTGCGAGCGTTGATTTTGAAGATCTGGTCACTGCGCGTTCCTTTTATTCCAATCTTCACTCGACGGCTCTGCACGTGACTTTGCTTCTTGTTTATTCCTCGGACGTTGAGCTGTGCGGTCGGTCCGGCGGCGCCGATCTGTCGCGCCAGGTCGTCGTCTAATAAGGTGACCGTCGAGCCTTCGTCGAAGAGCGCGTAGGTGTCGCAGCTCCCACGTTTGCCCGTGATTGTCACGGGGCAAATCTTCAATTTGACGGCGCGGCTTGTCGTCGTGGCAGCCGTCGTCGTTTCGGTGGTGGCTGGTTCCGTTGCGGCCGCGTTTGAGTCGGTCGCGCTCGTAGCCACGTCGTTCGTCGTTCCACGCTCATCTGCGTGCAACAGTCGGTGATGCGGTCGCTTGCATCCGTTGATTCCGCAGAGCTTCTGTCGGCAGTTCAATCGACGGTGTCGGCCCACGATGCATTTGAAGCAAAGGCCCTCCTTCTTCACCAGCTCCCATCGGTCATCATACGTTAGCTGCTTGAACTTTGGGCAGCTAGGTAGTGTGTGGGCTTCCTGGCATGAAAGGCATCTGCGCTGCGGTGCTTCTTCGGTGGCGACGTACACCGTCTTCTTCTTAGCCTCCGGTCTGGGGGCGGGGCGAGGCGTTTCACGTGTTCGTTGCGATGTGGAGGGTGCGGTGAGGTTCGATACATAGTTGTATCGCATGCAGCGGTCAGCTTCCTTCATCAGGAACGATGAAAGTTTGAGTAGATCGGCGTTCGGGCCCGGCTGTGACTCGGCGAAGTTGCACCAACTCGATACAAGGTAACTTGGCATCTTGTCTAAGACTTCCCGGGTCAGCAGTGGGTTAAGCAGGTACTCTGGCTGCACGTTCCTCAGGACGGCCACGATGTTCTGTAGCTTCACCGCAAACATGTTAAGATCGTTCGCGGTAGGTCCAATCTTCGGCAGCTTCCGTAGATCGGCGAAAGCCATGTCCACAAGTCTTTCTGGCCTTCCGTAGCATTGCTCCAGTGTTCGCATGATCTCGTCGGGGTGCGTCGCGGTGCTCAACAATGATGCGACGTTTTCCCGAGCTTCTCCACGTAGGCAGTTTCTTAGTCTTGCCATATTCTCTGTAGGTGTGAATTCGTACAGCCGCGTTGTTTCTCGCATCGCAGTCGCGAACTGTAGCCATTCCAGCGGTGAACCAGAGAATATCGGTAGATCCGATGCTTGACGCGGCGGCGGTCGTGACTTCACGAGGGTTTCGAGGACAGAGGCGAGTTGATCGATGCCTCTGCCTCGCGATGACGACCGTCTTCGTTCTTCCCTATCTGGGCGTCGCGTGTCGCGTTCAGGTGGCGGTTCAGCCACGGCGGTTCTTGAGAGCTCCCCCCGTTGTTGGTCGACGTTCGCGTCGTCGAGCCACTCGAACACTCGATCTTGCAATTTATTTGCCGGTTCTTCAGCTTCGGGTTCGCTCTCTGCTCCGTCTAGCGTTTCTAACTCGATATTGAGCGTCTTTTTTATGAGGTCCGCTTCAATTTCGAGTTCTCGGCGTCTTATGGCAGCCAGTCGTTCTTCTGCTTCGATGCGTAGCTTCCGGCGTGCCGCGTTGCTCGCTGCCGAGCGGGTCGAACGCGCGACGTGCACTCTCTTCGCCGGTTGCACCGATGACGTCATCGCAGATGTCGTTATTCCAGTAGTCGCCGCTGTGTCCGTTGGGTGTGCTGCGCGTTCGTCCGCTCCGCTCGGCGGCTGCGTAGTCACTGCCAAGGCGACGCGTGCTCCGGCAACGTCTGCCCCAGCGCGGTTCGCGTTAGGCGCTAGTTGCGAGACTTGCGGTGCGGTGCGTAGGCTCTACCCGGCGTTACCCGTCTCGAGGCGTCCTCGTACGGTCGGTGTACTTGAGGGCGATCTCGGCGGCTGGTCGAAGACACGACGTTGGTTTTCTTCGTCTTGGCTTCTTGTAAGCACCATCTTGATTCACTGTTGGCTGGATCTCGGAGGTTCTATACGTGTTTAGATCCGGCTTCTCGAAGGACCAAAACTGTTGAGGTTGCTGATCCGGCTCTATGGACCAAACTGTAGACGATGTTGTATAACCGTGGATGATGGTGAAAACAAAGACGGATTTCTTCTATAGACGATTTATTGTATTTTCTTCTTACTGGCTACTTGTTACTGCTTGACTATACTGCTTGACTGACTTGACTTGACTACAAATATTTACAAATTTGGCCCTACCCTTATTCTAAACTTAACATCTAACTTAGCTACTAGTGACGCGCGGCGGCCGACCAATCACAGCGCGTTTTGCGCCCGCGCGCCGGGTGGGGGAATCGCCCCCACCGTGCGGACGGCGCATACGCAGCCAATGGGCTCCCTGAGAATTCCGCAAATGTAGGCGCTGTGATTGGTCGTTCGATCTGTACATTTTTCGGCACGTGGCTGTCGTCAACAACTACCAAACGGACGATAATAATTAATAATAATATCCTTTATTGCAGAAATAAGTAACATATTACAAAGAAAGAAAAGGATAACAAACAGTATACAAAAAGGCGGCCTAATTGCTATGCAGCAATCTCTTCTAGGCAACCAATCGTAATACAGAAAACATAGATTAATAATAATGATGAAGAAGAGTAGATACAATAGCGACACTATATATCTAAAGAGAAAAATAGTGACATATACGAGTAGATCGTTTTAATACAAGATTTTGTTGTAAATTATCTTGAATCAGAGATCCTATGCCCGGCTGTGGGCGTCGAATGGCTGATATTATGAGAGATCTTATCGAAACGAGAGCCCTTATTCGGCAGGTTCGCTACGTTTACTTACAGAGGTGCCTTGGCTTCATTTGGTGTACAACATCAGCCCTGCGATTCTGTAAAAACCCAGACACGAATTCACTCATGTCATTTAGTGTAGAAATTCTATTGATCGAACTCACGTCATTTAGTGTAGAAATTATATTGATTCCATTTTTTGTTTAAAAATACAAAATAAAATTTATTGAATATACTTATTTCAGATATTCTATTCCTTTAATTTCGAAACTCATTTCACTTATGCCACGAAACGTTATTACCAATTAAAGATGACACCTGAGTGGATTCAAATTTGTGTTTAGATTTTTACTGAATCGCAGGGCAGATCAGCTCCATCGCAAAGATCTTACACAGACAAACTAAATTGACCCAAAGTCAACGGAGTTATATCATTTAATAACATATGTAATTATAATATTTGAACAATATATACAATGTTATATTGAAAAATATTCACAGTGAAAAATACTTAAAAATCTATTTGCCCGGGTACTGAGATGGGACATCATGGAAATCACATCTTAGACTACCTGGACTAAATATATTTTTAAGCATTTTATATTAAGAACATAACTATAATTAATTATTAGAGGTGGGGAATAAACTACAGTAGGGACTTAATTTAATAATACATTGTATTTATTATTTTAAGACAAAAAAAATTAAAGTTACCTATTTAAGGAAATAGACTACAAATGAGGTCATTATTTAACTATATTGCTCTATACTTCTAGAGGAATAATTGACGATATCATCAACAGCTGTCCAATATACGCTGCTGTGCGTAGAATTGCTTGGTTTTACTTATCGTTATATAATGAATGTGGACAAAATTTGATTAATACAATACACTAGGTCAATGTCATGTGAGATTAATATCATGTTATTTTATCAAACAAACATGGGAGTTAATAAAGCATATCATATCTGCATTATAACAGGACGACCTTTATGCAATTGTCCGAAACAATGACCATTCTGACCTCCGTGCTTTCCCAGCATCTGCGCAGGCGCAGGCCTTCAACTTCAATAAAGGTTTTGTGACGAAAATAACTAACCTAATTATAGATTTTTTAATTATTTTTATATCTTTTTTTAATGCTTCTTAAAATTTAAACTAACTTTCAAAACTAAAAATACGTGTTAACAAAAACAAAAATATTTTTTTTCTAATAAAAGCAAATCAAAAACATATCGGGATTCAGCTTATAGAAATTGCTTAGCTATATTTATATTTGAAACAGATATCCCCCCGTTTGAACGATTCAGAATCTTGGATTGGATTTACCGTAGCTCGTTCAAATTATTGTCTTTTGTATTCATACCAACGAAGCCATCTATCAGCAGAATGTCGAAGGAAATGGCGTTATGCCCGTTTTCACTAAACTTAGAAGTCACCTAAATATTTAGGAACTGCCTAAGGTAAAAATGCATTTCGCTATTGACTAGGAACTAGCTAACGCAATTTCTAAAGTTATCATATTCTCTATGAGGCGCCTTGCGCTAGGCGTTTGCGTATATGACAGGTCATAATATATTCAAGGGATAAAAGACATAAATATTTGAAATTAAACTAATTTGCTTAGTCGATTCGCAATATTAGGAGTTTCCTAGTTAAGCTGTGCCTTGTCATAGGTTAGTAAAAATGGATGTTATTTTTTCATATATGTTACACTTACAGTCAAAATTGTAACTGTAAAATGGTGTGACAATAAAGTATTATTATTATTATTATTATTATTACATATGCAAGTCAATCATATAGTTTTCGTTGTTTATATTAGTTGTAAGTAGGACCAAAAAATATATAAATCGTATGTACAATAACTTAAACTGTTAACCAGATGTTTTTATTTTTCAAAGCATATCTTATAATTGAGGTAAAGAGTAATAACAATGGTACGTGATGTGTATAAAATATTAATGTAGTGATTTTGGTGGTCATGATCATGTACTAACTAAAAGCTTTACTCCACCCTTCAATTAATATAGTATTAAATTATCTGTATGTGTGTCCAATTGAGTTATAGTACGGCATTTATGAATGTAGAGTGGTGCAAGTCCGGCGCAGTGTCTTATCTTTGCGCCTGCGCAGCCTGAAATGTTGACGGCTCAGTTACATAACAGAGGGCACATTGGACGGACGCCCAATATGTGCTAAGAATATATATATTTTTTTTATATAAGACAAACAAACATAGTTCAACAAAGATGACGATCGGTGAGTTATTTTATTTAAAAATAAGTGCTTTTAAATTTTTTTTTACTTTAAATGTATAAAAAATGCTTCTGAAATAAATTTTCATTTTTTTTATATATGCGTAATCTCTATTTTTCTAAAGAGCATTTTACACTTATTATATATAATGATATCTTATTTTTTTATTAATATTCCATTGCTAGTTTTGAAACTATATTAATTTTTTTATTTTCGTTACAATAGTAAAATACGCATACAGATATTTCAAAGCATATTTTTTCAAAAAGATTCTTTGTTATTATTTACATTATTAGTGGGAAAAAAGCAAGTGATGTGTTTTTGTCAAGTTACAAAAGGTGAATAATATTTAATTAAAGTCATATTTTCGTCATTAGGTCTGATTGTGATCAAATTACTATAACATATGCATTTTTATTTTTTTGTTCAAATTAGTTGCATACATAGAAAATCTTTGATCAATTTATTTTATGCTAAAAGTGTATTGTTTGCGTACATATATACATATAGTACAAGTTTCTTTATAGTAAATTTGACATCTCTTTTTACAATAAATTTAAACATTAATCGAAGAGTTTGTAATGTATTATATTATTTTTATAAATTTAAAAAAATTCTATACGTAATGGTGAAATATTTTCACTAAGTTATATTGAAAACACTGTTAATTTTATTTACTAGCTATAGATTTAGATAAAACAATAGCATACTTGAAATAATAACACTTGATATATATTTTTTTCTTTAAATCACTAATTCTGTATTGATTATAATACTGAAATAAATAAAAAATGACTAAAGAATTTAGCTCTAAACAAACTGTTTATGATTTAATATATAAATAAACTTTTAGCTGGCGTATAAAACGCTGGGACAATTTAGCAAATTTTCAAAGACAGAAAGTTTTCTAGAGGAAAAATATTTATATAAAAAAACTGATTTATTGTCATGATCACTATCATAATAGTTCCCTATCTTACAAACTACAAACATGACACAAACCGGATACGTATCGACGACCTCTTGCGAGTTGTTCAGTGATGCAACCGCCCCACCGTGACATTGGTACATTCAAGATCGATTTCAGTCTAACTAGAAATTATCTAACGTAATCATGAAACTTGAGTTATTAATTTCATTATTAGTTCATGTCCGTGATATCATCTGTGTTAAATTGTAAATTGCAATTCCCAGGCAGTTTAATCTGGATATTTTTTTATTTATCTGACACATTGTTTTACATCTGGCTCGTTATAGATATGCCTCGACCGTGTACATAATATTGTACATTCAAGATATTTGTCACGTCTCAAACATTTCTTAAATCCCAATCAAATTGCTAAATCATTTGTCTTAAGTAAATATAAAATAGTAAAAGTACCACAACACCTAGGCCAAGAAAAATAACCTTTTTCCATATTCACCCAACTAGAATTTTTATTAACTTAACACCAGATCGATTTATATCATAAACAGAAAGATTTCTCACCAATTTAAATCAATGGTTTTTTTTATTTATTCTGATTTACCAATGTTTAATACATACAATAATAATAAGCTCACCATAAGAAATGTATCAAACAATTACAGGTAAATACCACATGCAACATTATTATTTATTTTTTTACAAAAATTAATAACATTGGGGATCCATCAACCAATTTATTTATCGAATCTCCAACCCTCAAATACTAGTTTAGAAACTTTTTCAATCAATCTTTACTAAGACTGAGACCACAAAAATAAATAATGCTACGAAAGGTTTTTGAGACCTTTTTACGTTTTTTTTTTTTGCATATACGTTGAAGGGAATCAAAACTACAACCAGTTAAGTTCAGCAAAACAGCCGCTGTTCTTATTAATCTCGAATATTAAGCCTATTTATGCTGCCATAACGCATATCACACCAAAGATATAGTATTGCCTATTCTTCATAAGGTTTCATTGCCACAATCATCCTTGAAGCTACACTTGCGTAACCCCGCCCGCCCACGACATTAACAGTTTAACCTAAATCTAACCACATAATCTTAGAACACATGTCTACATTGATGCTTTTACACTAACACACTATTATTACTTCAAAATTCAAAGTTCAATGTAATACGCTGCTGTATTATGGTAAGAATTTTAGTAATCCTATATTACAATGTTATTAAAATGTATAATTTCACAATAATCTAGTTTCGGTTGAGTTGTTCACTTGGAGATAGATAAACTTGTCAGTAAAACTGCGTTTGTTAATTTGTCCTATAACTATTGTGGATAAGAAATATTTGTTCTTGTGTTATTGTAAAGTTCTATGCTGGGCAAATGTACATAGAGTGAATAATATTTTAAAAAATACAATAATTATTCCTGGTACTTTGAGATGGAATTTGAACCCATGACCTTTCTTTCGGCTGTTTGGGTGGATTGCCTCAACAAAGATGTAAAATACGCTCTGTAGCGGAAAACTAACAAGTGCTTAAAGAATCGTCAGTCCTGTTAGGTCCTAGGTAGGTCAGTGGTTAGAACAGTCGTGCGGATTGCGAAAGATTGTGGGTTCGAATACCGTCTCAGAGTACCAGGGACAAAGTGGATTTTTAAGTGTTTTTCATTAAAAATATTTTCCAGTATAGCATTGCGAATTTAAAATTGATCAAAAGTGTATACTATCGCAGTGAATTAACTAGTATATTATTTACCTATCAATGATAATATTATATGGGACCTTAGATAATTGAGAGAGTTAAATCTCCAGTCAAATTATGATTAGAGATCATTTAAATATAAATTGTTAAGTATTTCAAAAGTATGTTTGTTGCTCTTTCACACCAAAACTACTGAACGGATAGATATATAGATAGATAGACTAACAGGTACCCTAGGGACCACGCGAGCGAAGTTGCTGGTGGAAATCTATTTAAATATAAAAATATAACTATCCCTTTTTCGGTAACAGAAGGTTATAGTCGCAACTGACACATATTATATCTTTATGAATTTTGTTTCTCGCTCATTTTCATGGTCGGAGAACCTGTTTAAAATCGCTTGCTTATGAACTTACTAGCTGCGCCTCATGACTTTATCTCCGTTACTCGACTAAGAGTTGAAAAGCGTGATTTTAAAAGCTTTTATTTTGAACTACATTAAGCTGAAACTCACTAATATAATAAACAAATAAATAAAATCAATATTAAGATAACTATATCGACGTCAACGGTACCTACTTGAGGATATAAACGTCAATTTAAACTTTGTCAGTTTTATGAAACTAGGTTTTCTCATAATTATCATCATCATCATCATCACCAGCCCTTTTACGTCCCCACTGCAGGGGCTCAGGCCTTCCTTATGGATGGTTAAGGAGGATGGGCCATGACCTTCCACGCTGGTCCAATGCGGATTGGAGGGTATTAACGACTGTAAATGCAGCCGGACCAACAGCTTAAAGTCCCTTCCGAAGCACGAAGTAGCTCGAGATAATAATTTTTTGGTCACCCATCCCGTGACCGACCCTTGCGAAAGTTGCTTAACGACTACGATCGCGGGCCGCGGCGCTTATCCACTACGCCACCGAGCTACTCATAATTATATATATTTTTAAAGTAATAGTTTGTAAACGTATTCCTTACAATATTACCGAGTTTGCAAGTAATTTCAAAAATAGTTTTTGACGTTCTCTGTATAATTAATTGTACAGGTAAAGATGACGATGTCTCAATAATTTACGTATTAATTTCATCTTGCAGTTTTAAAAAATAAACGATTTTAAACAAAAAAACAACTTCAGTATTATTCAACTTTATGTACTCTTATTGATAACATTTCATATATAACAGAAATAACAGGCGATCGGAAACCGACATATATTTATAAACATGCCCTTATAAACCGCAGGCGTCATTTTCATAACACCATGACGCATACTTACGGCGCATGCGCATTGTCTAACGATTGATGTCATTTAATCAAACTATTAATTACATAAAGTGTTCGCTGTGCTTACTGTGGTTTCAAGGGTGCCATTATATTGTGGTACATTTACAAAAGTGCCATTGTTTATGGGATAACCGATTGCCAATTGCTTTAAGGCGTACTAGCTTCCCGTAGTTGAAAAAAAAATTCATAAGTCGGATCAGTATGTCCGCTGATTACCCCCTACAAAATATCAAAGTTAGGAATTTTCCGTTTACAATATTAATATATATATATATATATACACACCGTTCCCCTGGACTCCATCGAACATTGTAAATGTGTCACTGAGGTTTAGGAGTAAAGCCAAAAGAGAAAAAGAGACAAAAGCAACACGCCCGTCGATGAGGTAAATCAGAAGAGGATTTGTTGAAATCGTTTATAAACAAATAATAATTTTCTATTAAATACAATAAACCACTAAACCTTATTACCTATGAAAAAAAAAATTTTTTGTCACATGTGAAAATTCGAGAAAAGTGACTCTGTAAAATGTATTAAAATTTAAGTAAAACAATCTACCTAAATTTCAATAAGATTTAAAGGAAAATACTTTTCACATTTCTAAGTAATGTTTTATTATACTAGAATATTTGTCATTAATATTTTCACAGTGCTGATATGAATGTTAGCCAGTCGTCGAAACAGTACCTCTAGTATTAGTTTTGAAAACTAATTACGTTACCATACATTTCACAGTAACGCCTCTAGCGGAAACCATAATGAATTAAAAACGGGAACACAAGTCAAATTAGTTCAAACTATCCAATAACTATGAATTTCGTTATATTGAGTAATTCGGTGTCCTAAACTATATATTTCATAAGCTATAGTTTTTAAAGGAATTCGTTTTAAAGGTAAAGTTATAATTATTTTGGTTTTCTCATTTTCAGGGGCATCAACGTTATTGGTCGCTTTGTTAGCGTGCGCGTGCGCAGCGGAGAAGTGGCGGTGGCCTGAGAGCACGTCGTCAGTTCGCATCGACACCAAAGTACACTTCATCGACGCTAAACCAGAGGATGATCACAAGTCAGTATACTCGGGAAGAAATCCCGAAAAGCAAAATAGCAGATTCGAACTTTTTGCGAATCGGAAGGAAATATCAAAATTATATACTTATTTAAATTTTCCTGTCATCAATTGATCAATATCAAGAACACAATTTTTTTCTTAAATTTTCTAATTCACACACAAATAAAGGACGATGCCATTCGAATACAATTGAGCAGAAATTAGGTCATGCGAAAACAGTCTTAATAGAATAATAAGAAATTTACTATTCATGAGATGTTATCTGAGATGACACTGCCATGGCACTATTTATTATAAAAATATTATCAGTAAATTATCAAGAAACGATTATTATTTTTACCTATTTTCGTTACCTATTTCTAGAACAAAAAGTTTTTACTGTCCACGGTTCTATTTTATTTTATTTAATCTTAATTGCCTGGTGAAATAAACAAATGGCAGAATTAATTCCAAAGAGGCATTCTCAACCAGTCAACTAGTACATTACTTAAAGTGGTGACAGACATAACTGATGTATATGCATTACGCTTTTGATATCCCTACATAAGAACTACATATATCTAAATATATACAATAATCGATATACATACCTAAATAAATGCATATACATATATGTCGCATCATCTTTACGAAGATCGTTTGATTTAGTTTCTTTTATTTTAATTGCTAGTTACTCGATTATTTAATTACTCGATTGTAGAGAGAGCTTGATCATCGATACTTTTAATTTTATTAGAATGGTGATACTGACTTTGACAGTTCGTTAACAAAAAGCAAGTTGCCGCCATTTTGGCACACATTCTGTTTCCGATCGCCGAGGAGTAAAGACATCCGACGACATCACGCTCATCTCGTTATATTTTCGTATGAAAAGTGATAAAATGGAACAAATCCACGTTGGTATACACGCCTGCAGTGTTATTTTAAAGATAGTCCTCCGATATGGACCATCTATTTGGGCTTCGTAAAAGCCCTTTTTGACTACCCGCCGACATATATAACTATAACATAAAGAAAAAAATCTAGTGTCAGATCAAGAAATCTTGTTTGGAGCATGCTAGAAGTTGCGAGCTGCTGTCTTGAATCCAAATTTATTAGGAGCACTTCGGACGTTCATGGGCAGTACATTCCAAAGACGGAAAAACGGATAGCAGTTATAGTGAAAGAATGATATCTGTAAAACTGGAAAAGTTTCAGTAATACTTCAGTTCAATAGTTATCATTAGATATAAAATACCACCAAAATCCTTCCCCACCCACACATTGTTTAAAAATCACAATCCAGTAGTAAGAACTGTCCACCTAAAGTGAGGACATTATACAATCTGTTAGCAACTAGCATAAAATACGTACAAAAAAATACATAGTTGCACTTGTGATTGCAATAAAATAGAAACAGTTAAAGTTATGACATCGGTAATTCCCCATATTCAAAATTAAGTAACTAAAGCCACGAGCTAATTTCGATATAATATGTAAAATATCGTTTTCTACTCTGAACAGCCCTGCGATTCTGTAAAAATCCAGACCCGAATTAGAATTCACTCATGTGTCCGAATTCACGTCATTTAGTGTAAAAATTCTATTGATTCCATTTTTTTTGTATAAAAATACAAAACAAAATTGATCGAATACACGTGTCTCAGATATTCTATTCCTATATCATTTCGAAACTCACTTCACTTATGCTACGAAACGTTATTACCAATTCAAGGTTGAGCGTATGCCTCTTTTTGAAGTCAATTCGGACACCTGAGAGAATTCGAATTCGGGTTTGGAGTTTTACAGAATCGCAGTGCTGGTCTGGAATCGATTACCGTAACGTCAGAGCTGACATTACCTTGAGTTAGGATACGGAGGTCATCAAAGACTAAAATATAATCGACATCAAGAAATTGAACATACCGTGAAAACAATACTAATATACAATGCATTATTAATTGCACACTTCTGATTGAGGTCAAGATGGCTTCCAAATCAATGTTTATTACAAATGAATGGTTGCAAAGATGTCGAGATAATGTTATGTATAAATCCTTCGTGTTTAACGCCTCGTCCGGTGGGCGCACGCGAGCTACCGTGCACGGGTTCAGTTCCTTGGCCGAGATTACGTATTTCTTATGCTCTTGGAATTTTCAAGATTATTTAGTTTCATGAAAGTATGTCGCGATTCCTGTTCATTTGCTTTAATTAAAACACAATATTACATATTACTTAAGTCATTAGGTTGCATTATAAAGTTTGTTACATAGATATAGCATATAAATATTTTTTTATATAAGAAAGTGAAAATTATCTTTGATTCTACCTGAAATGATGGAACTCTTGACCTTTGAAACATTGCACCCAGAAAAATGACCAAGTGTTAGCTTGGATTGTTGCACGGCTGCACGTCAGCCTGCATAATATGTTAAATTACCTCCATTAATTTTGATCTTTATCTGTGAAGTATTAAGTCTAAATTCAAGTAGAGAAATTTGTTAGATTTGTATAGCCTGGCATATTGCTGAATGTACATGACGAATTCTGTAAAGCAGCAGTAAGCAATCTTATTTGTGTTAAATATTCATCTTTTTCCATGGTAGCACCCATTGTAGCGGGTATTTAAGTTTGAACCTATTCCGATTCAAAAATGAGATATGATGATTCGGTCCCACTGCGTACAAATTCCGTTCTTTGACAATAAAAATTATCCAAGAACAAATTGTTGTCTTTTGAATCAAAATATTCTTTATTCAAATAAGCTTATTGAAAGCATTTCTAAAAATTTTGGATGACTCGACACTTTTATTCTACTGAGACAAAACGTCTATTAGTTGATAAGAATATTGAAGAATTAAACAACAATGTTTCATGAACTTATTGCGCTAATATCGATCAAGATTATTTATAGAATGATGTACATTGCTAAATATTGCATTCTTAGTATTGTTCCTCTAACAATGCGCCCGAGATCCGACAGTAGAATGGGTTTGCGTCATTGGTTTTAACCTCTAATTGGTATCTTCCTTCCTTCGTTGTGTTACAATAGTCTTGATAGTGAAGTAATTTACTTTTCGCCTCCAACCCATTATAGAACATGTTTATTCTCAATGTGTGCTCAACAATATCAGATTGACGTTTCAGGATAAAGGTCTCTGTGTTTAATATTTCAGATTTCCATAGTGAAACGGTTTTAACTACTTAATTTGCGATATAAGCAATAAACCAGTTTTATCATTACATATTTATTTAGTATAACGTGGCATGTATCTTCACACAAATCCTTTGGCAGGGAAATAGCACCAACATTACATACATTTTTTACTCTCTTACCATTAACATTTATTTTTATGCAAGATCGTTAATTATTTCTAAAACTAATACGGACAAATTCAATACTTTTATAAACCTTCCTCATTGTAGTGACTGACAAATAAATGTAAGTGTATTATAATGTTTTTTATCTAATATTTGTTTCCAATTCAATTTATTTCAAGTCCTTATCTTTTGCAACATATCTTTTCAGTCGGTAGTGAAAGCAATTTAGCAAACAGTAACTTATAAGTTATATTTGCGAAATTGGGTTATTAGACTATTGCCAGAAGGAATTTCTTTTATAAACATTATTTGTCTTGCCACACTTTGGAGTGTTGCAAAAGTAATCGTTGTTGTGGTTTCTGCAATCGTGTATACACACTATAGTTGATCTATATTTGTTTGAATAGAAACCAAAACAATAATTGTCACAAACTATTTTGCTGTTGGTAAGTTGTTGATTTTCCTTTTTTTTTAGCTGAAAATTACAAATCGACAGATGTTAGCAGCAGATGTAATCTGGTATGATAGCTGTGACTACAGCAAGCTGACGTATATCTATCATGGATTTACAAATTAAAATATGATTCAAAAACTTTTTAACTCAGTGCTTGATCTTTTAGATATTAATACCGGTGTCATCAATGCGCATTTTCTGCTTATTTTGTATTACAAATCTTTTTGTTTTGTCTGTATATTATTATGTACTCCCGAAAAGTAGAATGATACTTAAATTATTTTAGTTTATCAAACACTTCAAAATTTTAAAATGACCAATTTAATTTCTGTACCAGACAAAATCGAAGTAGCGAAACTCAATCAGATGAACCTCAATTTGAAGAGCCAGCAAACACCGAGGGCTTCTACAATCGTCCTCCAGGGGTCGGCCGCTATCCCGTGCACGTCGAAATGCACCGTGCACCCTATAGGGTAGACTCCAATTCCATCTACGACTTGAGAAATCCGTAAGTTATCTGAAACTATGATACCATCCACGAATGCTACTCTCCATAGAAACAAGCCCTGTCGTCCATCCTACTCTACATAGTTTACTGCCATAGGATATGAAGAGCACGAAGAAGTTGACGGACGTGTACTACGGGATATTCAAAAATATGTTACTGAACTTCGTCAATCCTGAGTAACACTTAACTGTGTTGCGTTGAACATTACACATAACTGTTAATTTGTGTAATTGATTATACACCCAATACCACCAAACCGAATAAGAACTTATAGAGTAGGACAAGATAGATGCGGCAATGCCAGCCGCTCGAGGGTGAAAGAGTAAGAATGCTAGAAAGAAAAAATATGCAGCATGAAAGGTAGTAAGCTAGAGAAAACTGGAAAGAATGAGTACAAAATGAAAATAAGACCTGTTAATGAATGGGGGGCAGAGTAGGACTCGGCCTAAAATGTAAGGCCAAGCATTAAAAAAAAACCGAATAAGGACTAAACAGCAACTCCAAAAATTATGTTGATAGATTTTGTTACAAGTAATAATATATTAAATAAAGTCCTAGATACGGTTAGTTCAGTTCACTACTTAATTGATTTGGTGTGCTTGTATTACAGGCAACATTACTCAGATGGCACCCTAGACTCGCTGCAGTACTGCAAGTGTGTCTCAAGTCCCGAGTGTCACCCTAACATCGACTCTACCGTAAGTAAGCTTCATTAAAAAATAAGGACTAGGCTAGTATTTAAGGCTAACAGTGATAGAGAAAATGAGTCAGGAACTAGAGCATCAAAAACTTTATTTATATATTTATTTTGTACACACAAAAAACATTTACATGGACATTGTGAATCACTTTGTAGCCAATTATATTATCACGAATAATTATATATAATTACATACTTGCATTTTTTCTGTTGAGATAACCTTATAATTTTCTATTTTGGCCCAATTTGTAAACATAAAGATACCTTGTATCTGATTTATTTCTTTGTCCAAAATTAATGTCATAATTATTTTTTACACCCTTAAATACCCTTTTCAATCTGAAAAGATAACTCACCATTTTACTTTTTGAGGCCAATTAGCTATGTTTTGATATGATAAAAACCAAAACCACTTACGTGTCACCGACAATTGAATCGACATATTAAAGAAAAATCTATTTGCTACAATCAACTCAGTCTGGATTCCACATTTTTAAACCACTCGGAATTTTATTCAAGACCAAAGAGGTGTTCATGCTATAGGTAGCAGCCGGAACACAGAGAACGGTCACTTGAAAATATTTTATATTTGCTTTCAGAAAGCTTGTGGTGTTGGCAAATTCCTGTGTTGCTACAAGCGACCAAATAAAAATTCTCAACAAATCTCAGGTAATTTTATTTTTGGTACACGAAAGCAACCTTTTATTTTAGGATCGATCATTTAAATTACTGTTATTTTGAGTATTGGTAATGAAAATACAAATAGTAGTTACAATACATATAAACCTCAAAATGTTGGTATTACAGAAATCTTTAATGAAGTAGACGATGAGCGCCCATTCCTGTTACCTGGGCAAGGTGAGCATGCTGGACCATTCCCACCACCACCGAGCACAGTTCTTGGTGGCTCCTATGGGTCAGCCCACAACCACGAAGCTGCTGTTCTAGGTGCAGCTATAGGACCAGCCAATAACAAAAAGCCAGTACTCGTCGGTCCGGGTGGACCGACTGGACTCATTGGTCCAGCTCAGAACCATGCGGGATCTCATAACCCTGCCGGCAATTATAACCCAGGTCAATCCAACCAAGGACTTCTTGTTGGTCCCGATGGACCTACCGGTATCATTGGCCCGAACCGTGGAGTGCTCGTCGGACCAGAAGGACCTACTGGCATCACAGGACCCAACCGGGGTGTCCTAACAGGCCCGGGAGGGCCAACAGGCATCGTTGGACCTCGCCCTAACAAAGAAGACTTTTATTTGCCGAGTTTCGATGCCCAAAAGGCAGAAGAATCAGCTCAGAGAGGAATCCTGGTTGGTCCCGGTGGACCGACAGGAATAATTGGACCTGCGGGGTATGGAAGACGGCCCGTGCTCGTCGGTCCCGGTGGACCGACAGGCATCATCGGACCTTATGGCAATGTCGGACGGACTCCAGTACTCGTTGGACCAGGTGGCCCGACCGGAATGATCGGTCCACCTCGCCGTTTCTACGGTAAATAATGTGTGTATAGTGACTAATAAACTGGTCGTGATAACGCTTATTAAAAACTTTGTGCCGTTAAGTTTGTGTAAATATAATTATAGTTTCGTTATATTGCTGTTAACCCCAGGTTAATATACGAGTTACCATTCTATGTGATAGATCTAATCGCAAATCAGATAACCAACCCTTCACAGGTTGCTCCCGATCAAAATCAATATCACCGTTAGCATCTAAGACTAAGCCGTTTAAGAAAATTCTGTAGTTAACGTATCAAAATAGACTTATTGAATCTTAAACTAGTCTTTTATTTACGCTTCTGATATAAGTTCTCGATTTCTATGAAAATCTTTATAGGTGTAATTGAACGTTTTTCAACGAAGTATGTGTTGAAATGTCCCGAAATAGTCGTACAACAAAAGTGGCGTTCTGAGTAAATTGGCACTAATCCAAGCCTGAACCTATTGCCACAGATCGACCGGTACATACTCGTTGACTACTGTTAGGTGCACGCGATAAACAGATATAACCACGTATAAGAATAACAAAATCGAAAGATGCATTGATTCATTCAGAAATGCTTTATCTTATCACTATATAGTATAAAACAAAGTTGCTTTCTCTGTCCCTATGTATGCTTAAATCTTTAAAACTACGCAACCGATTTTGATGCGGATTTTTTTAATAGATAGGGTGAAGGAAGTTTTTTATCTATAATACAAGACCACGCGGGCGAAGCCGCTAGCGGAAAGCAAGTATACGTTTATATTAATTCATACTACTCAACCTATATTCCCGTGTTTAAGTTGTCTAATTAATAATAATAATAATAATAATAATAATTCATTTATTTAGCAACCACACAATACAGAAATATCAAATTGAGTGAATACATAAACACACATCGTGGCTCTAAAAAGGTATCCATTCAGCATAGTGCCGAGATGTCATTAAGATACCTCGACGCTGATCTTCCATGGACACCAGATGAGGAGAGGAGAAGTCACTACTATGCACCATACATAAATATTTACATGAAATAATCATCCCAAATATTTAAATTAGATACGTAAATAAGTATTATATAAACCATGCATAAAATACAATATTATAGAGAATGCGATTTAAATAATAAATTTGTATATAAATTACACAACACAACACTCAAATCAGCTTCTGTAAATCAAGAAGATGTTCTCTTAATTTAATTTTAAATGTTTTGATGGCACGGAACTGTTTAAAAGGTGGAGGAATGTTATTCCAACATTTCGTGGCAGCGTAACGAAAGCTGCCACGAAATGCGGTTGTGTTATGTCGTTGATATCAAAAGACGAGTAGCATTCCTGACTGCACGACAAGAGAAATTAAGCTTGTCATACAAGTATACCGGTGACCGTCCCTGAATAATACCAAACAGTAAGCACGCAAAATGAAATGAACGCCTAGTCTCCATGTTCATGAGGTTACCCCTGTTGAGATAATTATTCCTAGATACTTAAAGATATGAAATTTTACTGGTTGCATTCCATTTTATTTAATCTTTAACAGATATTAATCATAAACCTGATCCACATTTCATGTTCCGTGAGTTTTTAAAACATTCAATGCAGCTCTAACCACTATAAAGTAATCAATAGGTATCTTAGTAACAGCTCGAAGGTATTTATATATTTTCTAATGTATTATTTTACCATTTTGTTGTTGTATGACAAACAGGTGGACCAAACTTCAAGGGTTTCATATTTAATAGATACAAACCGATAGTGGTGATGACTATGATGGAGTAGAAGAGAGCACCGGTGAAGGTCCACTGGATGTGCTCGGTACTCTCGTTACCATCCCATCCTCGCACCTTCATCTCCAGCAGTATAGAATTTTCGAAATCCTGGGTCAAGAATAATCTACTTATAGTGATGAAATGATGTGATCAGACAACACATCAATGAAACGTAGTTTAAGCACATTAAATTTGTAGTTTGATAGATATAATAAAATAGCAACTTATACAGCTATAATAATATATAAAGGGATGGATTGGATTGTTTGTTTGCATTAAATAGGCTCGAAAACTACTGAACTGATTTCAAAAATTCTTTACATGAAATATGGGTGATAAATACTATAATTTATGCGGGCGATGTCACGGGAACATAGCTACTCATAATACTGAAAATTAATCTATATGTAACACCTATAATATGTAAACGTTATCTCTCCAGAATAAGCGAGAGATAAACCGCATCTAATTGCTGTCTGCACTTATTATGCCATCACATCGCAGATACAATAAACAAGAAGAAAAGGATTATTTCCTTTCCTTAGTCATAAAGGATGAAATCAAGAAACTTGAAATATTTAAGTTTGTTGGATAAAATGGTGCCGCTGACTAATATTTCTAGTATATCGAACCACGGCGTTGGAGTTGGTAATTCAAAAAATATATTACGAGAATAGACTGACAGATAACATGAAAGCTTCTTGTATTTGCACGTCACTGAACAGGACACGTGAAATTGTTTACATTATTATTTTTAGTTTTTATAAAATTAAACTTTGTAACGTTTCCGTTAAAAATTATCAACACAAAACATTATTTAAAATATAACAAACTAAAATGACGAATTTGAAATATCACCCAGTATCAACCAGATGATATCGTCCAGATTATGTAATGATAAGAGTTTTCGGTCTGCTATTTGGTATCGGGTGATAGTTGGTGACCAAAATTTTATTATCTAGAGTTCCTGCATGATTCAGAAGGCATATTGAAACATTGGTCATAGCAGTCATTAAACAATATTCACTGAGTGGTGGGTTATAGGCTGTTCACTCTATTTTGATAGCATATATAGAGAAGACCTGTATCCCAAAAGTGAGAACATTTATAAGCTAGTGATTATGATATACTTATAAATATATCGTACGATAAAAGCTTCCAGCTATGACAAATAAACACAAGAGGTTCTATTTAAATCTGGTTTCTAAAAAACTTTTTAGATGAAAGTATACCTTGAGCATGTCCACGACACCCGAAGTCCAGTTGCTCTGGTTCAGTAGCGGCACATGTCTCGTCATCAACCACATACTCTGGGTTGTATTCTCACGAATCTTTGATATGTTCATCTTCACCTGCATACAAAATATTAACCAAACACTTTTGAAGGTTATTTATGTATGTATTTATTTATTTAATGACAGGAAACCCTAATGCAACAACGTAAGATATTACACTCGTACACGTTTTAAGTTTAGTATTGAAAATGATTCAATAGAATCGGCAACATCATTTCGTATTAATGTGCTTTGAATACTAAATAATAATATGATAATAGTTATATCATTGATGAGAATAGAAACGTGAAGTTTGCTATATAATTATGTTGATTAATTACAGGGGTGTGAAACCTAAACGGGTATAAATAATACATTATTAATTTGGTCACCAGAAAAACCGACACCCATCTATTAAGAACTATGATTGTCATTCAAACGTAAAGCATACGAAAAGGATCTATAGAGAAAATATACGGCTGTTTGTAAAACGTAATAAAGTTGTATAGATATTTTATATTATATAATTAATAAATATTTGTTCTAGCGTTTACGGAATTGCTACCGAAACGCGCATGAAGTCGCAGGCAAAAGCTAGTAAAGGTATAAAGAGAGGAAAGATCCGGTAATCTCTCAGTTTCTCTTCATTCTCTTCAGTCACGCATGCATAGGTGTCTTTCCAATGTTAATATCAGTTAAATTCGAATTCATTTATGTGTTAAACATATAAAAGACACACCAGACTAAATTACATTAAAACATGTCGAACTAATTAAATGTTATATGCAAGATTAAATCGGATAAATAGTGTATTTTTCTCTTATTGCTCGTGTACAGACTCGAGGTTTGGCTTACGTGGACAGTCTATAAGGAACCGTGCCGCTTTGTGGGGTAAGATCTCTCTGTCTACCTTGTGGTGATCGGACAGTTAAAGATTTATGGGTTGACTATGAAGAATCAATATTGAACGATATATTTTTCTTGGTAGATTCATAAAATATGTGACCGAATAGTTGTAATTAGGACCTTAACAGATTAAAGGGAAAGTACTCTCCTTTTTCTGTACTTTAACGAGGTGTTGAGATGCAAAATTATTCCAACCAAGTGCTGACAGAGTTCATAATATTTATTTGGCAGCTAGACACTAAGTGCGGACGTCTGCAAATGGAATCATCAATCAACCGCTAGCCAATTAGCGTCGCGTCTTGAAAAATTATTTGGAAAGTTCAGACCGACATGCTTAATAATGTAAAACGTAACAAAACAGATTAACAATCGGTCTGAAATGGAACTGTTCGTAGTTTAGATGACAATACCGCGTACCTAATTTTCCAAATACAATAGTTACAAATTGGATATTTTATTGAGTGCTTAGTAACCTTTGGTGGCCATTTAGTATTAGTTATCTTCGATATATTATTTCCCTTAGTAATTTGTAATGCTGGTATTTTTATTATTAATTTAATTTAATATAAACTAGATATAAGTCATCATCCACACCCCCTGGTTGATCCTTATCAAATCAAATATAATTGGACGATATTGTTTTAGAATAAAAAACCAGCTAAAGGAAAATTAGTTTTTAATAAACAATACTTACTTCTTTTTCATGCTGTGCTTCTAATTTTTCGAAAGTGACCGCACCCAGGATGCAGTACGCTACCACCAGGCTGATCATCACGAAATGTGAGAATACCACCGAACACAGCCTCCATGTGTAATACAGCACCTACCAGATCAAATCATGATCTTATGTACAAATCGGAACGCAGGCAAATGTATTCTTAGTTTAATGAATCACAAACTTCTAAATTTAGCTGATGGGCTTTTAGATAAATGCCTCATATAAAACTAAGACGGTTAGGTAAAACTCAACAGATGGCATTTTATTAAAAAGAAAGTCCAGAAAAAAGTCCTGATTCATTTAAAATCATAAATTGAGTATTACCTAATAATAATTCCTGATAATACTTGGTCGAAGGGCGAATCTGTTGATTAAGAATTTAGAAATTTATGAGTATGACACACTATAAATATTTATTTCTGTGGCGTTAAAGTTAGTGAATCTTCTTTTTTTTTTTCAAAGAAATTAATCTGAATTTAACGAAAGTAAGTTATTTTAAATTCTTTAACGCACAACACGACGAACTGCATCATCAGAATTCTAATGTTCTAAGTCCTTCATTTGCAAGTTATAGATTATATTCGTTTTGTTCGCCTTCGTCTACTCTGATTGATCTGTTATTAACCAACAGTTGTGCAATGCAATAAAAAATCCAATACCCCATTACGATTAACAGACGTAAACAGAAACCACTATTATTTACGTTACACGTATCTATTTACATCTCACGAGGTTAATATCACTGCGCTATATTTCTAGCAGCGCTATCGTTAGTATATCAACGCCCAACAGTTTCTATCAAATCAAACCGTAAATTTGATCTACTTAATCCAGTATTTTTAGGTTTTACGCACAAAATGAACTAACATAATTTCGCTTTCTCGTTTGATATTTTAATTTATGTCTGAACATCACAATTTTTATTGTTTAAAAGTTGTTTTATTATTTAGACATTCACAAGTGTTTCACAGCTGAATATTTGAATCGGAGTTTTTCCTGAATTGGTAATTTTATTTTTGTTTTAGATTCTACGAGTTCATGGTTGATTACAATGTGTTGCCATCTCTGAGAGCCCGAGTTTGATTCTCGGTCTCCCGACCGAATAAGACATAGAAACAAGAATTTATCTTCAAGAATAAATTTTGTCTCTATTGTCATGAGCATGAGTTTAGTTGTTGCGGTAACTGTGTTACTTCTGATTAGTTACGTTGAATTAATAATTCCAATGATTCGGTGCTGAAATTATACCTCTCTATAAACTAATAATTGTAACTTACTTTAGCACACTTGCTGGGCGGAGGCATCGGCTCTGGGGGGCACTCCCCCCTCCCCAATCTCAGATCCCTCCGAGACATCACTTTTTTTATTCACTACACTAAAATCCTCACTACACTAAACACTCATCATTAAAACACTTTAAAATATTACTTTAGGTAATCCACATTAACACTCCGATCATAATATTTAGTTTCATTAATCCCAATCATGATTTATTTTATAAAATATTGGCTGTGTTTCGCAAGCTTGCGCGTGCGCCGCGCCGGTCAGTTATATTGGGCGCAGAGTTCGTTTTACTGAAGAAACATCTAAATTCGAATGACGGGTGTCCGCCATTCATGATATGCATTGCTAATAATACACTTGAAAGCTGAATTTCGAAGATATTCAAATATCAGAAATTGCTCAGCACTATAGATTTTATTATAAACTTATTGTTTTTAGACATTTTTCATTTATAATTATTTTTTTAAACTTATTATTGTGATTTATAAAAATATTAATCAAATTAAACTCTAATTAAGGAGTGTTATTACGAATAACAAAAACCTACAGAGTAACGTTACAGGGTCGTTAAAATCTGGGGTGCGATCGCCTTACTCTAGCCTTGATTCTAGTCATAGGATACGACATCTTACCGATATTATGCAGACATTTCGTTTCATGTCACTACTTAGAAATGTCTTTTGATAGATAAATGACGAAGTTGGTAACACTGCTAATAAATTCAATGGTCCCTTCTCCAATAGAAATTACTTTCATTCTATCTTGAAGTCTTTACTATCTAGACTTCAGAAGTATAAAATTCTTTCACAGTTGATACTATTTTGTCAAAACTTATATGAAGTAAAGTATTTTCTCTTTAAATAATTAAAAATAATATATGGGAAACAGACAATAACTACGGAAATGGCGTCATAAAAATGTAGTAAATAACGTCATAGTAAAAATCTTTTCAAACATCAGACATATATAATGGACCCATGTCCACCGTCATGCCCATGCACTAAGTTGCCTAATTGTCGTTTATGATGAGATCTCAATCATGAGTTGGTAAAGGAATTTAGTAAATTACTGAACATATGTTATCTACGTATTCTTTAAGTTTAATAAAAATCACAATGGTGATCGAAAATTAAAAATGAGTTGGGATAGCTGTTGAATATTTTATATTAAATAATTTTTTTTTTTTGCTATATATTAATGATTTATGTCAACTGCCTCTTTCAAACTGTAAAATTGTGACATATGCTGATGACACAGCCATTCTCGTGCAGGGTCATGACTGGGAGGAAACTCGTGTCCGTGCTGAGCTAGCTTTAAGTGTAGTCAAGGAGTGGCTAGCAAATAACCTCCTTACACTTAATGCTAAAAAATCTTGCTTTGTCACATTTGCTCCAAGATTGCAGTATCAGCCGGGACAATCTTTCAACATTCGAGCTCACCTACGTACATGCATAGATTCTTCTGATCAGGCATGCAATTGTGAAACAATTTCTCGAGTCTCCTCTGTAAAATACTTGGGGGTGACTGTTGATAGTGTGATGTCATGGAGAGAGCATATAAAATCCGTGACCTCTAAGATTAGGAAACTAATTTTTGTTTTCTGTAAACTTAGGGGTAGTGCTAACGGGGCTACTCTAAAAACTGTTTACTTTTCTTTAGCCCAGTCGATTTTGACCTACTGTATAACTCTTTGGGGTTCTGCTAGAAAGACACATTTATTGCAGTTGGAACGAGCACAAAGGGCTGTACTAAAAGTTATGGCTTTTAAACCTGTCCGATTCCCTACCAAAGATTTACACGAATTATGGAAAGTACTCTCCGTTCGTAAATTGTTTGTGTTTCATCTATTACTGCGTAAACACAGAAGTTGTCCCTATGATCCAAATTTTGTTTTAAACACTAGACGGTCAGACAGAGTTTGTACCATAGAAAGGTGTCGAATTAAATTAATAAAATACCATTACTACTATTTCAGCTCCATTTTATATAATAAGGTTAATTATAAATTAAATATATATAGTCTTCCACTTCGAGTTTGTAAACAAATTTTAAATGAATGGTTACTAGAACTAGATTATTATGACGTGGAATCTCTCATTATTTAAGTGCATTGTATATTTTTTGTCGTTCTTATTTTTGTATTTTCCTTTATTTGTGGCTTTTATTTGTCATCTGTTCGAGGTGGGCGCTAATATCTGCAACACAGTCTTGCTTGGACTAATGCAGCTATTAACGTGCAATTGATTTTGTACCTATTTTACTGCACCAAATAAAGATTTATTATTATTATTATTATTTTATATACACTTACTTTACCAATCCTTGTATTTTACATAAATAGTGGGAAAATTAAACAATCGTAAATGTAATTATTAACTATTACTATAATCGTTATTTATGTTAAAGATAATCTAATAAATATAAATAAATAAATTATATACAACAATTCATTTATCTTACACTAATATTACAGCGATTATAAAATATAACACTTGTAAAAATATCACGTACTGTGTACGTGACTACTTATTAGGAATATTTTTTTGTGAAAATATGTGTGAAATATATTGGGACTTCAAATTAAATTAACACAACGTAAATCATATTCACAGTTTGTTTCGTTAACAGACATTGCAGACACTTAATCTTTTTATATTTATCACATGGATACAAAGGTAATTATAGCATATACTTTTATTTGAATACAAAATAAATCTGATTCATGATAGCTATAAATAACATCACAAACTATCTTAAAACCATTAATTCGTGTTATATTATCATAATAAATTCGACTTAATGTCATCTTATGTCTATATTGCATTTTACAGAACATTACATATTTGATTGCTTTTCTCTTTTAATTTCAATTAATTCATTCTGTACAAAATAACTGTTATAGTATTCCAAATTATAAATATTGATCACATTATTTACTGCTAATATCTACTTTTATATATATTAGTTATCTAACTTGCCTTCGCACAGGTGATAAACTTCAACAAAGAAATTTCCAATATAACTATTAAAATTACGTGGTCTGAAAGCGAAAAGCGACTTTATACTATGCAGTATTAATAACAATATTGTTTTAAAATGCCGTATCGAGTACGTGTAAATCACATCTGGAAGATGTATTGTTGGTATAATTATAGTACGTTTTGTAATAATTAGGACCTACTCAATGTGAAAATGAACAAAAACGTATACCAGAGAAACTAATTTCTGCAATGGATTACTGTTTGTTTCTCTATTTTACCGTATCGTATCACGAGTTTAAGAATTATACCTTTTACATTTAATTTTTATAAAAAATAAATTTAATTTCCAAATCACTTCGAAAGGTAAATTACGATTATTTGTTTACACTAAGGTTAGTGTATCATCATTATTAGCATTACTATAATACAATACTAGCTTTCCGCCAGCGGCTTCGCCTACTTGGTCCCTAGGGAACTGTTTATTTGGACATCGATTGCACATGTATAATTACTATAACAAATTGAATAGTAAATAATGGTTACTACGGAGACGTTTTAATTCCCTATATAAATTCCCACACACTTTTTTATCCCTAAATTTACTGTTTTTCGGAATAAAATATAGCCCGTTTTCACCGTGTAGCTTCCTGTACGTGTAAGAATTTAAAAAATCGTGCCAGTCGTTTCGGAGCTTATTCGATGCAAATAAATAAACATACGAATAAATAAACAATCAAACTCTTATAATATTAGTCTAGATTATACTTGATACACATCGCAAAGTAATTTTAATTTGAAAATGCTCTGATTTTGTATGTTTATAAATGAGTCTTCTTAAGACCACAAATAGGGATGACAACTAATTTTAAATATACTAATTAAAAATATCAAACAAGTATTTTTTTCGTAATCATTAAATACATTGAGTTTAATTATCACATGACGTAGGATATAGCTTCTATAGGTGAGAGAATTTTGAAAATATGTTGTTTCAAGCTTTGACAGTCATTTACATTAATATGATGGTTTCATATGGGATTACTATTGCAAGCGCCACTACCACGGAGTAACCGATTTTCGTTTTGGAGCTATTCTATTCATAGTAAACAAAATTTACCTCTATAAATATATTATGCACTGCTTATTCAATAGCGGTTTAACTAGGCTGCGTTAGTGGTGTTCATAGGTATGTCGTGTGACGGTAGTTTCTGTCGCGCTATCTGCTCCGCCTCCCTGATGGTGTCCGGCAGCCGCGTGTGCAGCGTCTCCGGCGTGGTGAGCATCAGCGCGCCCGCCACCAGCGCCGCGCCGCCGAACAGCACCGACGGCAGCCACTCCACGTAGATCGCCTGCAATATATGCACAGATGATTGTAAATTTTATTAATAATTGGAGAAACAAATAATATTTTTACACAATCAAATAAAACTATGTCACAAATCAATTTATTCACAAGAGCATGAAACGTGTTAATAGTTAAAACTAATGGAAAATTATTTATTGAGAATTTCTCTCAGCCTTTTGTTATGAACATAAATACTGTTATTAAAAATGGCAATTGAAATAAATTTATTATTATAATTAATACGTATAAAAATATGTTAAAGGGACATCGAATAAAGTTTCACTTCTAGAGCTTATGCGTGGACATTTTATGTAAATATTAGTGTGCCGGATAGCTACCACCGGTACTTGGTTTTAGTTGTTCGTGGCTTTAGCTATTGGAATTTTTTGTGTAATTTTGGGAGCGATAAATAAAAGATGTGTGTCGTTGAAAAACCGTTTAAAAAGTGAAAGTATACAATTGTTTCAAAAAAGTTACAACGTCTTTTTCTTGAATTGCGTTTCGTTCGTTCATGAACAATAAGTAAGTGAGGATGAGTCAATCTAATTGTCTAATTATTCAGAAAAATCTGATTTCTCTCGCAGCGACGTTTGCACAGGGACTTTGTGATATGTTTATAACTATTATATTTACAATGCAAATATCGAATAAAAAATGCTTTACAAATTTTAAATATATTCTTCCGATGCTCTTTATGTATAAATTATAATAAGAATTCCAGATAACTGAGGCATACTCCAAAATCGATCTAACAAAGCATTAGTTAAGTTAGATCAAGAGTTAGTTCCTGCCGATCCTAATAATAAATCTCTACATTACAAATGCCTTTGAGATTAAGAATATGTATTTCGTTGTCTTTATTTTTGATAAATTCTGCATTAACAATGCTAAATATATTGTTAAGTAATACTAATGACACTAAATTGAAATTGGGAAAATAATACCTAAAATGAAATTGGGAAGCTCGGGGAAAATTGTTATTATAAAAGGTACCGAATTCTAAAATATTCATTAGACCCTAGCTAGTTAATTTTATCATTTTCTGCATTTTATTATTTTCTTCGGTGCCAAAGGTCATCCATTTGTATTATTTTTAGAAAGAAAATGATCATGATAATAGTAGTAAATAAGACATTCAGTAACACCCTTATGGCCCCAGCAGATCTATTCGAGCAGAAGGAGATGGCCAAAAATTCTTCTTTCTGCTCATGAACGACAGATAACGTTATAATTCTGTACTGATTTCTTATATTTTCACGCGCACTATCTATAAATCTAATCCGTGTTTACATAAGACGGAAACTGTCTGGGTCCGAAACCTCTGAAACTAATTAAAAACGCGACGAAACCGTTTCAAAGTTGTTTTGTTTATCAAAATTCTGATTTCAATGCGTATTGGTATGCCAGGGGGTATATTGTTTTTACACAAATAATTCTAAAATTAATTTGACCATTCGGCGCGTTCTATGAGGATAAATGTGCAATTAGCATAAAACATAAATGTTTACCAGTAGCGGCATCTGTGGTGCTACTATGGAACCCACTCGGCCAACCATAGAACAGAAGCCAAGCAGCGAGTGACGCGCGTGCGTGGGGAACAACTCCGATGTGTACATGTAGATGCCACTGAACGCCTGCGTGATGGCGATCTTACCCACAAGGTACAGTAACGTTGTCAGCCACGACAAAGCTGGAACATTAACGACATCAATGTAAACAAACACACTCGACAGTACTCATCCCGCATCCCTAATCAGCCCGCAACAAGTACGAATTCAATCATCAGATGGCATATTTATTATGTGGAGTTCCTCTGTGCGACAAAAGGCCTACGTCATTTATTCCCGACTCAATCTGCAGTTCTAAGTCCACGTGGTGGTTAACTGCCCGTTCTTTTCTTATTATAGAGATAGTTTAACACATGGATCTCCTTTTTTTTAATAAATACCAACGAAAACAGTCGCCTCAGAAATTAGGAAAAAAGTGCCACCTATGTTTATGTTTATAATTTATTTTCTAGCCCAGTCTCTATTAAGGCCAAAAAGTGATCGTAGCGGAAATCAAGTAAGTTTAATTAAACATATTTTGTACAAAAGTAGTAGGTATTGCTTAATATATAATAACTTACACTTTGGCACAAACGTGATAACTATACACGAGAATCCACAAACAGTATAAGCCGACAGCAGCGTCTTCTTCCTGCCGATTCTATCCAGTACCAAGGCATTAGTGACCACAGCGATTACTTCCACGCTCACTACCAACATGTAGTTAGTATATTTGTCACCAGCTAACGAAACGGAGTTGATAGCCAAACCATAGAAGACGAACGTACAAGTGATCCACCACCACGAGCAAATGGCTAGGCGCGTCATTATTATTGGTGATTTGAGCACTTGCATCCATAACCCTGACTCTTCTTCTGTAGACTTCTTTTGGTCTACAGGCTTCGTCTTTTCTTCCGTCAGCTGCTTCATAGTTTCTTCAGTAAGTGTCACGTTGTTCATCTTGGCAGCTTTCATTATTATTTCTACCGCTTCATCTTTTCTCCCCTTGGACAATAACCACCTAATGCTTTCTGGCAGGAGGTAGATATAGAATAAGAACAACAATGAAGGAGGGTAGACCACCAATATAAAAGTCCTCCAGTAATTGAACGTTTTAGCGAGAAGGGCGAAGCTAAGGCCCCCGATTACTAGCATGATACCTAAGAACGCTGTGGTGAGAACTCTTTTGTCTTGTCCAAGCAGTTCGATAGCTGGAAAATAAAACGGAAACTATTATTATTTTGTAAAAGCAGATAAAATTTCAAGTTTAAAGGGGATTTTTACTGAATGAAAATCAGCCAAATAATTCTTTGTAGTTTTTTCGACTCAACATTTAAGTACATACAAAAGAAAAACTTTATGTTCGTGATCAAATTATGAAACGTATAGGACTGTATTCTTTTCCGTAGCAAAGGTCTGCTACTTACTTAAAATGTATGCAGCAGGGAAGGCGCTAGCTCCAGCGACAGTCTCCAAGAATTCAACGATGACATACATCTCGTAAGAGATGGAGAACGCTTTCAAAGAACCAATAGCGCCGACGAGCGTGCAGCTCAGAATTAAAGCCCGCTTACGACCCCATCTTGAAACGAGAAAAAGCAGTTATTATATACAAAATATATATCTGCACATTCCTCTTATAAAAGTGCGATTAAAGCCGACATTTTAAGGGTACTTATACAATTTTTTTTTTCCAGTTAGGACATCAATGTAAAATTTCGGTAGCCAATAGCTTTTTTTTAATATGTATTAACTACAAAGTTATATGGTTATTTCCTCAGTAGAGTTAAAAAGTGTTCTGAAGGAAACTAGGATGGTGACGACGATTCGCTGTGAATTTTTGTGGCCTTGTAAAATATTGCTTAACGACACAAATTGGATATTTCATTAGGTATTACTTCATAGTTGATTAACCGGCTTTAATAAACTAGTCTAAGCCTGAGCCAGATCTATTCCACGGATCTATAACTGGAACTTATTTTTATGATATTTGATACATATTGCATTCATAGTGCTATATTTCTCATTTTTTTTTTTTAATATTACTATCCATTATTTACGTAAACATAACATTGTATTAACTGTTTTACGTTGCAATCTTCATAATAAATTACTTTACTTCAAATTTACCTGTCAGATATATATCCAAGGATTGGTAGTGAGACCAGCATTCCTATGTTATGTATCGTTCCCACCAGGGTGCGCTTCCACTCCTGGCACGCCAGATTAAACTGTAAAAGGAAAATAAAACTCATTAACTTATATTCGATTCAAAATTAACACAACAGAAAAGCTAGTAACAGAGTTGCAGTTTATGGCTTTGCAATTATTTCATAGCAACATAAACCTGAGTTATTATAACTTTAGTTAATAATAATTAGTGAATTACAAATGCCTTGATGTTGGTGGAGTAGGAAAATTACATTTTATATTTCCCCGTAAAATAAAAAAAGAAACGAATTCTGAACAGTAACAGTATATATCATTTAAGAATTTAATTATACTTTCCAACTATGAATAGAGAATGATCCAAAATATTTAAGAATTTTATTTTACTCAGCGGCTAAAACTGCTTTTTCTCCCTGTTTTATTTCATACAAACAAGCCCAATTGAAAATTACTTCAATAGCTCTAAAGTCACTTTGCATTACAAAAAAAAAAACGATTGGGCATCTGCGATATTCTAAACGCTCGTAATTGTTGTTCCAACTATTCCGATATTTCCGCATAATTGGGGGCCAAGTTGGAGTGTATTCCCTTGCGGTATCCACATTTGCATAATAATAACGATCTCAGTTTATGCCATTGTCTTTTATACTACTGTTAGATATTGTTTCATTGTTTACTTCATATACATTAGAATGTATAATAGAATGACCAGTTGACAAACTGTGGTACCATACATAATGAACTATAGGTAATTTGATAACCTTCCTTGTTATTCGGATGACTGTAAGAAACGTGCAAGTAAAATAAAATAGTAACGTTTTCTTATGAACTACATGATCATGGGAAGGACAAATAGCTAGAAGAACCGACGACCGTTGGGGCGGAAAAGTTCTGGAACGGCGACCGCGTACCGGATGACGACGATGTAGAACGACGATCTTATAAAGGTAGCGGGAAGCCGCTGGATGCGGGCAGCGCAGGACCGATCGTCGTGGAAATGAAATGAAATGAAAATATCTTTATTCAAGTAGGCTATTACAAGCACTTTTGAATCGTCCAAAAAACTTTTTTCCCCTACCACTTGTTCAGGACGTCTTTTAGCTGACAAGAAGAACAAGCGAAAGAAACTTACCAGCTTTTTATCATAAGTTATGAAATGACATTTACATAAATCATGTCATTAACAAAATAATATGTTTTATCACAATAGTAAATACAACTTTCAAAGTCTGTAGGACATAGGTTGAACATATAAATAGAACAAAGCGAAGGCTATTAATTCCATGCATTGCGATCCTTAAAAGAATCATCAACTTTATAATAGCCTTTACTCATAAGTATATTCTTTACATGAATTTGAAATTTATTTATGGGTAGGTCAATTACATTTTGTGGAACTTTATTGAACATAGCAATACATTTACCCAGAAATGATCCTCTGGTTTTTTGAAGTATGAAGCTTGGAACGGCAAGTTTATCTTTATTTCTTGTGTTAAGATTATGAACACTACTTTTTTTGTGAAGGAATCGTAATGTTTTCTTGTGTACATAATATTCTCATAGATGTATTGAGAGGCAACAGTCAGAATATTTATTTCTTTAAATATTTCTCTGAGAGATTCCCTAGACCGTAAATTATATATAGCACGGACAGCTCTCTTTTGTAGAATAAAAATATCCCGAATGCTAGCCGCAGAACCCCACAACAATATACCATACGTCATTACACTATGAAAATAACTAAAATATACCAATGTTTCCGTTTCAACATTTGTCAAGAGTCTAATTTTCTTAACAGCAAAAGCTGCAGAACTCAGTCTACTTGACAAGCTATCAATATGAGGATCCCATTGCAGTCGGGAATCTAGTGTAATACCAAGGAACTTTGTCGATTCTACTAACTCAACTTTTTCACTATTTACATTTATAAGTGTACTGACATGCCTCACATTAGGTAATGCAAACTTTATGCAAATCAAGGGGGAAGCCTGTGATGGAGCAGTGGGCGTCGTACGGCTGTTGTTGATGATGATGATGATGACATCATCATCAGATTTTTCCATCGAAGTCCTGTGTGCCACTGTTAAGGCACAGGACTTCTTTATGAATGAAACATCATCATCATCATCAGCCTTTTTACGTCCCCACTGCAGGGGCTCAGGCCTTCCTTATGGATGGTTAAGGAGGATAAGCTATGACCCGCCACGCTGGCCCAATGCGGATTGGAGGGTATTAACGACTGCAAATGCAGCTGGGACCAACAGCTTAACGTGCCTTCCGAAGCACAGAGTAGCTATAGATAATAATTTTTTTGGTCACCCATCCTGTGACCGACCCTTGCGAAAGTTGCTTAACGACAACGATCGCGGGCCGCGGCGCTTATTCACTAAGCCACCGAGCTACTCTAAATGAACTACTATGAATGAAACAATACAACAGATATGGGTGATAGATGACCTAACAAAAGAGCGAATTAACTAGATTGGTGAATGAAACGACTGCCAATGTAATGACCGCCGGCTTGTAGCATGGATGAGGTCGATATTATCTCGATTTCTTTGTGAATTGCACTAAGTCGTTGTCATGTCATTTTTTTTTATTAAGTCTGTTCAGACTTTGTTTTTGTATTCTCGTACTTGTAATGCTGTGCATACAGGTTTGTGGGTTACAGTGTTAAGACTCCACTATACTATATTACAAATGTATTGATTTGATTGTTACCTGTAGTGTGTGCCTACGAAAATTATAAAAATAAAGAATTGTTGATGATCCAATCAGATCATCGGCCTTTACGAAAGGTGTATAGCCTCGACAATCTCAGACAGAATGTACTAGTCAGTATGTATTAAGTTACCAAATATACATTTTGTTTAATATTCATAAGAATACAGAAGAATATGAATCTCTTTTTATTTTTAAGTTGACTAAATGTTTTCTTGTGCGTCTGTTCGGCGATGACTTCGCCAATTTGTAACCGGTTTTGATAAATCAACTTTTGTTTAACTCCCAATTTTTTTATTTTGTTTGACTTTTTATTTTGGTTAACATTTTAGAATGTATTCCTTGATTAAGAAAACGAATGCTACAAATGTCAACCCATGGATGTGCCTCTGATGCGTGAACGCCGGACATGTCAGTGCTTATTGACAACAACTGCATCGGACCGTGAAGTGATCTAACAATGATCGCTTTTATCGATACGATTTTCAATGCTAAATATTTGTAGTTTAAGCGCACGCAGAAATGTTTTTTTTTACTACTTACTGAAAGAAAAGTCCCATAAGTTCCACATAACGTTCCCACAGCTGTAAGTACAAGCCTATGATAGAATAACAGAAGGAAAACGGGAGATAACTTACAACGAATGCCGATTGCGGAAAAGTAGGTGCCAACATCTGCAGATGCAACTGGAACTACCGGTTTAGAATTCTTTATGGCAACAAATTATTAATTATCGGCCTTTTCCTTTGCCAACCTCCATGCGGTTAGCCTAAAGAAACACTGAATGGGCAGTAGCTAAAAATATGTTAGACAATTACAAAGTACTTTGAATAAAAATTATTGTAGTTTTAACTGCGCCATGGAGCTCCTCACTACGATGCTATATATTATATATTATTTATTTCCTGTATACTATAAAATTTTCCACTTTCATTTAATATTTTTGGTGAATCATGACGGTGATATTTTACTGTCACTCAGCCAGTTGCACAAACGTTCATTAAAATTGATATTAGTATAAAGCGACATTACCCATTCAACTTTGAGATTAATTAGAGCTTAAAGGCGTCATTAATCCTTAATGGACGTTTGTGCAACTCACCAACAGTCTTTCAAACGAAAATTATCTCTTTTTTTTTTCAGAATACAAGACCCCACCAGCCGAAACAGGTGACGCTTCCAAGGAACTTCATGAATATAAATTACTGCATTATCATTCGATTGCACTTGCTTTGGTTGCTGCTTTGAAGTCTTACGATCGACAAAGATAGTCAGGGAAACGCTGCCGGCATTGCTGTTATCCGATAAAATGGAAGTAAATAAACATACATCCACGTTTGTAATGTCAATGATGATAACCTCGATTACTAAAAAAAGGGATTCGATATCGAAGCAAATTGGTAATTCCCCACTTCAAGGTGATCAACTATGAATTAGCTAATGATCCAAGTGCACTTGATGATACATCGCTGCTCTCATTAGAAATAATGATGCTTGCAATATTTAAGATAAATTGAATAAGTACAGACTCATAATTTTAACGTTTAAGTTCTTAATTTCTGTATTGAAAGCGCTAGTTTAGTAAAATTGAAATCACTGTATTAGATTAGCATTTTAATCTTAAATTTATTTTTTACAAAAGTAACATAACCTCAGACGTGTCGTAAACTAATTACTTATTCTGAGCTCACTTATGTATAACATACAAGCTATGAATTTGTCTTTTTTAATTAATAAAAGAGACTAGCGTTGTTATCCTCAATGTATAGAGTCATGACCTCTATACTTAGAATACTTTCTTTAGAATCATATTCCGCTATTTGAGTATTCTGCTGTCTAAGTCTCAATGTTATGACTTCGCGATAAGATATCTAATTATTTGCATTTACTCGCCAAAATCACGTCAGACCAAACGCTTGCGAATGCGGCTATTTATTCTGTGCAGCATTGTCGTTCAAATGAATAGGGGCACGTAAAAAAAAGATATAATTTCACGACGAAATCACTCTATACTTTAAGTAATAACAATGAAGATAATTGAAAATCTCTTAATTGGAAACTTAAAGTATACATATCTTTTTTTTAAACTTTACTCTGTGAGCTGAGCATTTTATATATTTCTCAGATAATAATGCAATTATCACTAAATGGGCTATTGTGTTAAAAGTAAGTACGTGCCATATTTTCATTAAGAAAGATTACACGTATGAGTTGAATATGCGTTTCATTCAACACAACGTGCTCACTAGATAAAATAGGTCTACTGTTCATTATAGTAACCTATTATGGTTATAAAGAGTCATTGTCAAAACGATAACAGTCGATATCGGGACGAAAAATCATTGGTAGCCTATCACGCACAATATATCTTGAACTTCATAGTGGTCCGTCCAGGGCCGGATTAAACACGTAGCAAAAGTAGCAAATGCTACGGGCCCCGCGCAATCGTGAGCCACGCTATGGTTCAGAGTCAATTAACTAATTTTGCAAGTCAATGTCAACTGATAAATAAAACTCAAGTCAAAGATTATGGGGTGGGGGGAGGATAATTCGGTATTGGGTTTTTCCTAATCAACGATTTTAATAAACCTCTGTATGAATTTAATAAAATCGATTTGAAAACCGACCACAAGAAAATAAAACCCCATCTAAACTTTTTGCCAGATTTACATACCGTTGAATGTCAGTACGTAAATCTAGCAAAAAGTTTAGGTTCACTAGGAGATATAAATCAACACAGCCAAATAAATAATTAATATTATAAATGTCAGTGCCGCATCAGATATATTTGGTCAACAAAAAATTGTGTTTATTTTTATTATTAGCACTAGTGTCACGGCGTTGCCATCGCTGAGGTCACGGGATCGATTTCTAGTCGAATAAATGTAAAAACTGGCATTTCTATATTGTCGTTGGCATTGTGGTACCTTCCTTGTCACAGACACTTCATAATACAGGGGTTTCAGCTATTTATCTTGGAATCTTAGCAATGTATGTGATTTTGTATAGTATTTATAGTAAGACGCCATATTTAATGCTATAGCTTTTCCTTATGCAACCAGCATCTTAAATGACATTCCTGAGTACGTCAGTTAATCTCCAGTTACCTTAGCATTTATATCTAGAATACTATTCCGTACTAGATTTACATCGTCATCCACAGACGGCACCGACCGTGGTACACTCAATTGCTCACTGTAAGTGGTATACACCGCCTGCCATTGTTATGGTGACGTCACAACGCATCGGATGTGTTACATGGCTAGAATAGCTATTAAAACGTATTCATAACATTTTTTGCACGATATAGAATAATTGGGCTTCATTTTTAAACATTAAATATTTTTAAACTGTCATGGAATTGCCTTTTCGTACGAAATATCAAATCGAGTTTTTGGATAAAAGAATACATACTGCTTATTAAAGTACCAGCTGTATATTTGTATAATCTTATTGAAAGATCATTTACACCTTTAAGTTATTTGTCGGGGACGTCTTCCTATAAAGATTAAATTTATATCTAACCGGCCAGGGTATTAAAAAGGTAACTTGTAAGGAATGATATTCAAACCATTTACTTAACAGATGAATGCTCTTCCAAGTGAGCACCATGGATACGTATTAACGTAATAGGCTATTTTTTTCATGTTCTCGTTGCGTTTATTGAAAGCGATCATATTTTTATCAATATTAATGTGAAATTATATTCTGATTAACATAACAATCTATCTGTTCATAGCAAAACACATAACAATACCGTAAACAGAGAATACAAATTAACATTCGAGTCCTGTCATCCAATCCTGTCCCCGAGGCAACTTCCTGTGTCAGTCTTTTCCTATTGAATATTCCGATGTAGCCGATGACAGTCTCTATTAGGTAACTAGTTAATAAAGTCGACAGTAAATATTTCAATTCCCACGATGTCAGTGATTATAACTGTTGCTAAAGTGGGAAAGAAAATTTTGATAAAAGCGACAAATAATCGTGGATTAGAAGTAAAATTGTTCCTGATTAATAGATATCATACTCGAGTCATTATACAATTTATCAAACTTCTCAATCGTATCTATTCATTCAATAAGTATAATAGGTTCCTTAATATACACATTTAATAACACTACTGTTTTAAGACTTAACATCAGTATTGTTTGATGCATAAAAACAATTAAAAAAAATTTACCACCACGTATTCAAGTTCTCTCTCTTTTCACGTTAAATTATATTAGTTGCTTTAAAAACAACTAAAGGAAAAGAAATTTCACTGATTAAAAACTTATCATTTTGCTTTTCATAATGCTACGTATGTTAAAAAATATCTAACCGTTTCAGATGCTCAGAACTTTATGGTACTACTTCTCTACCACTTGAATTAGTGAATCATTTAATATAAATTAAATTATGAAAGACAGAATATTTTAAATGTCGGTACTAACTTCAGCTACGATTGTATCTCTGCTGGCATACATCCACTGCTCGCAGGGCTGCAGCTCGTCTGTGAACATCTCCTGCTGGCACACGCTCTGGTCATCCAGACTGCTCTGATCAGCGATCAATCGTCGGTAGCATCGCTGCTGTCTTCCTGAATCCGGTGGTAGAGCGCCCTCTATCCAGGAAGGCTTGAATTCTGTGCTGTTGGACAGCTCGCACTCGGGAATGAGGCATCTGGAAAATGTTTATCATACTCATACTTAATATATGCGCGAGAAGAATTTTAACCAACATAATTTGGCAGATTTGGTGGTGTATACCAACACAGAAATTGAGGAGTTCACATCAAACTGTTGTTGCAAACTCGTCAATATGCATTATGCCCAGCAAATACAAGATTCATCGATTCTCACTATCTTTTTCTTGGGGAAAATCAGTCCGGCAATGGGGACTATTCTAAGATAATGAACAATCAATACATAGTATAAAACACAGTAGCTTTCCGTCATCTTTCCCTACGTATGCTTAGATCTTGTGTGTTTCAAAAGGAAGAATATTATGTTTAATACAAAACCACGTGGGCGGCGCTGGCGGAAAGTTAGTAAAGCTATAATTTCAAAATATTATCCAATACAGTTCCTTTATACTTTAATATACAAAAACGCTTTTTTTCACATTTTAAGGAAACTTTGATTGCTGTATACATTGTAACATAATTATCGCAACACGTGACTAATTCAATTAGAAACCGTCAGACAAACGGTTTCTATTTACTGAATGGTATAACGGTATGTAATTAAAATAAAATAGCGATCGGACGGTAATAGAAGACCATTACGTTGTTAAGACTAGGTACAAATGTTTATGATCTGCGGCTTGTATAGGAAACTATTTATGTGGTACTTATTTGATAAAACTAAGATTCAAATAGTAATTTGACTACCTAAGTGAATAAAGAAGGTAGTCAAATTATTATTTGAATATAAGATATCTTGTAGATAATTGTCTACGAGATATTTGTATTTAATTATCAACAAGATATTTTAACGAACGGGTAGCTCGGTAGCGTAGTGGATTAGCGCCGCAATGCGCAATCGTTATTCAACTCAATTTAATCATGTGAAGATGACATTAGTACTATACCGTTGCATTACAACACACACACACACACACACACACACACACACACACACACACACACACATATCGTACCCATGCATGTCACACCTAATCATCTTTTATTCTAAATTGCATATTCCAATAAACTTTTTATTAAATGTATACATTTGTATAACTGTACCCTTAAGTTGTAAGTTATAACATTATTATGTCATTCGTTTGTCGGGAGTGGAGGCCTGATGACCTTTAATACAGGTATTCTTCTGAATATCTAACTTAGGCATCAGTCGCACACCATAACCTTAAGAACAACTATGTTTGTAACTTACTAGTATGTAAAACATTCTGTGTGATGAGAAATATTTTTTTTTATTATTATTATTTATTATTATTGCTAAGCAGATTTCGCAAGGGATGGGTGACCAAAAAATTATTATCTCAAGCTACTTCGAGTTTGGAGGGTTAAACCGTTGGTCCCTGCTACATTGGTGAGTACGTAAAAAGGGGCTGATGATGATAAAAGCGGTCTTAGTCATGGGATCAGTGGTCTTAGCCTTTAAATCGACATAAGTTTCTTTAAATACAGGTAAAATCTGGAATGATAAATCCTAGCCTGACCTGGGGTTGATTCATAAAAACAGATTAGAAAATTCTATTCAATAGTAACAAAAAAGTTTGTTGTAAATAATAAAGGCTTATTATTATTATTTTAGTAACACAAAAAATCAATTACATCAGTTTGATGATGTGTAATTTGTTTGTTTATATATCTGGTCACTACAGGAACATTAAAACAGTGCATGACTAAAACTATAATACCTAATTTTCCATTGTGATATGGAGTCACATTGTGTTTTTTTTTCACGCAATTTTTGATGAAATAACGTCTCATCATTTAGACCGTTGACCAAAGTCTACTATTGAATGGAATATTCTTATTATCCACATAAGTCGTTGACCCGCTAAGTAAGAAATGAATGATCTACGCAGGAAGTTATTAGTTACGAAACTCTTCAACCAGATTAATGTAGAATTGCGCATGGGCAGTAAATAAGTGCTCCCTTTGCGTGCTCATATTAAGATCAAGGGTCCTACCATCGACTCTAAAATGCGATGCAATAATCGTTATTAAAAGATACCTACGATGCAAAACACATTTTTAAGTGCGACCGACAAAACGCGAAGCATCTTCCGATATACGAGGTCGGGATGATAAATAGCATAGAAAAACTTGAATTAGTGTGTTAAAAGTATATTTATTTTTCGACATAGTCTCCTTAAAGCGCTATGCACTTCATCCATCTATGCTCTAAAACCTTGATGCCATCCCTGAAGTGGTTTTCTTCAAGCCCTTCAAAATAACTGTCCACGGCAGACATCATCTCGCTATTATTTTCAAATCTTTGTCCACCTAAAAAATTTTTGAGCTTAGGGAATAGATGAAAGTCAGATGGTGCCAGATCAGGAGAATAAGCTGGGTATGGTAGCAAATCATAATTCAATTCTTTGAATTTCGCCATCGCAGTGATGCACGTGTGAACGCACGAATTATCCTGATAAAAGATTATTTTTTTTAGCCAGGCCGGGTCTTTTTTCACGAATAAACACTTGTGTATTCAGTAGATCAACATAATATTCGCCATTTATGTTTTATCCTTTTGGAAGGTAATCAATCATCAATATACCCTACGAATCCCAAAATACAGACGCCATGACTGTCCCCGCAGATTTCACGGCTTTTGCTTTCTTTGGACCCGGGGATCCTTTTACCGTCCATTGTTTAGACTGAATTTTTGATTCAGGTATATAGTGGTGAACCCTAGTCTCGTCTGTAGTAATAAACCGTCGCAGAAAATCAATTGTATTGCTCTTAAAGCGGTCCAAACATTCTTATGGAACGCGTTTTTGGTCAACTGTAAGCAATCGCGGTACCCACCTTGTGGATAATTTTTTCATACGTAATTCTTGAGTCAAAATGTAATGCACCCGTTCTTTAGAGATGCCTACAGTAACAGCTATCTTGAAAAGTTTCAATCTTCGGTCAGCTAAAACTGCATCATGAATTTTGATCCCGATTTCTGGAGTAGTGGCACTTTTTGGACGTCCTGGACGATGTTCATCTTGGGTGCTGGTACGGCCACATTTAAATTCAGCCACCCAATTTTTTATGGTCGCATATGAAGGAGCATTTTCTCCCAAAACATCCTTCATCTCCGAAAAAATCTCTCCACCTTTTAATCCTTTTAAATGCAAAAACTTTATTACAGCTCGCAGCTCAATTTTATCCATTTTGCAGAATAAACAAAAGAATGCTTTTTGAAATGTCAATATTTAAAAGAAAAACTATACGATCGATTTGAAATTTGGAACACTGGCAGCTAATGAACCAATGAGTAAAATACTAATTTTATATCGTTATTATACAAAATATGGGTTGGGCTAGCTATTTATCATCCCGCCTACGTATGTAAATTCGAGTAGGTTTTAATGTATGCTTAGATATTTAAAATTACTCAACGGATTTTGATGTGGTTTTCAAACTTATATGTGTATATAAAAGAAACACACCATTTTGCCTTTCAATAAGGTCTACATTACATTTATAATTTCAATTAATATTTAACGAAGGTGTAACATTTTCTAGTTTAACAATAATTAAAGTACTCGTAGGTCGAGGACAGCGCATTTTCTTCTTGGATTGAGTTTTATAAAAATTAACATTCTAGCTTTTTCATGTAACGTCTTAAATATGTAGTGTTAACATAGCAGTGTCTTATGTAATTGTTAACAAGTTTAGTTCGCCCGAGGTGCAACTAAACTTGTCAACAATTACAATAAATTATTTTAATTTGACTATACTTAAGATTATTCTAAGCTGCGGTAATTTTTTATTTAATACTTCAGATTTATGATCCATGATTATTATTTTAGTGTTTAATTCTTACATAAAAATTACTTATTTATTTATTTATAACTTGTAATATTTACGATTACGATTGGAACATTTTGTATATTTTTAATTAATTTTTAAATGACATTTAACGTTTATAATCTGCTCCCTACTGCGGCAGAAATACATAATACAAATTAGTCGATGAGAAGAACTAAGTAAAAGTATTCCACGCCTTGTGACAACGTATTTAGCAACACAGCCTTGACCCACAGCCTACAACATGGTGCGGAGTATTATACTTAAACCGGTACGATAATAATCACAATAGTTAAATATGAACGCGTATATCATACAACATATGTTTTGAACTCATGTAATCTTCCATTTTATAAATTACATAAATATATTCTTAAGATTTCTAGATAAATAAAAAAAATCTTACCTCAAAAGGGATAAAGGAACTTATAAGCATTTGGCTAGAGATAGTCTTATCTATCTCTCTAATTGAAATGCTTACAATAAATATTATTAAATAGTCAATCTGAATTCACAATGTGAAGGAAACAAATAATGTATAAACTACCCATCAAAAATATATTATGTAAAAAAATGCACGTCTCACAACGCAATTCTTCTGCCATAAAAAGTTATGAAATCAATATAAACCAAGTCGATTAATTCAATACTTATCTCTCTGTAAGAGCAACTAGCCAATCTTGTCATAAACTTTGGAATACTTAACAAACGCACACGTCTATTAGTCTCATTAGTTCTTTTCAACTTATAAAGCACAGAGTCAATAAATTATTTTTTTAATGTAACATTATTTTATCATACCTATGCTTTTGCTTTTTTCGGGTATTATATCTAGAGCATCAGTTACGGGCATCTAAGATCCCTCACTCTCTATCTCTGTAGACTTTATATAAATAAAGGCTTTAATGGATCGGTTTTTGATAAATCATATGATAAATCTACTCGGTGAATGCATCTTCAATAAGTCGATTATATTCAGAATACAACCAAAGTTGACATTGCTTAGATTTAAACAGGTTAGGGATGTCGTTCTCGAAAGTGCCACATATGCTTCATCATCATTATCAGCCTTTTACATCCCCACTGCAGGCTTAGGTCTTCTTTATGGATGGTTAAGCAGAATCTAAAACTAAAAAATGGGACAAATATTTCATAATGTTATATTTTCCCTTACATTGTATGCAAC